ACAATAAAGCTCATTCATTCATTCATTCATTCATTCATTCATTCATTCATTTTCTCTTTCGAAGAGCACAAATTTCCCCTAATGGAATTAAAAAAGTAGTTTTTGTTCAAGCAAATGTTCAGTTAATATCAATAAAAACAGAGAAAAAAACACTGTTGAGATAATTACTTGTGATTATTTTCATGAATAAGGGGAAGGATAGGAGTTACTAGACCAGATTAGAGTATTTCCAACAGAATAAACATGGTAAAAACATGGCAAACAATGTCAAAACAGAGAGTGGAGTCATTTTTTCTTTAGAAGTACACACATTTCCCCCTAACGGAATTAAGAAAAAGTCGTTTTTGTTCCGGCACATGTTCAGTTAAACTCAATAAAAAAAAGACAAAAAACACTCTTGGGATAAATACTTTTGGTTATTTTCATGAAGAGGGGAAAAGCCGCAGCCTGGGGGCCACAGACCCTCCCCAGAGAGCCGTCCACTCACCGGTGCAGCCCTGGATCCCGTAGCCGTAGGTCCCCGGGGCGCACTGCCCGCAGCGCCGGCCAATCACGTTGGGCTTGCAGCGGCACTGGCCCCCCACCCGCTCACACTCCCCGCTGAGCGCGCCCTGGGGGTCGCACCGGCAGGCTGCTCACAGACAGACGACAAGAAAACGCTTTTACCGACGGTGGGAGTTCAAAGTTTAAACTCTTAAACTCTTCGTCCACCGGGCGTCCACTCACGCAGGGCGCCGTCGTAGATGATGGAGGAGATGCTGCAGATGAGCTTGGAGCACATCTCGGCCAGGACAGGCGTCGGGGTGATCATGAAGGAGTCCAAACACATGTAGCGGGCCATGTCCTCCTGACGCTGCTCCGCAGCCTGCCCGTTGCCTTGGAAACCGCTGAGCTCAGTGTATTTGGGTATCAGAACCAGCTATTGGGACGAGACAAAAAAGGAGAGAGAGTAACAGTTAGAAAAGTCATAACTTAGACTGTTACGGGAAAGCAATTAACTTAGACGATTGTAAGAAATATGTATATATATATATATATACAGTGGGGGAAATAAGTATTTGACACTTACAAAGAATGCTTATTTTTCCTCATCAGATGGTTATCAATTTTCATAAATTCATATGATGTGATTTTCTGGAATTTTCTTTGGGATTCTGTCTTTCACTGTTAGAATGTACATATGATTAAAGTTATAGATCGTTGCATTCTTTGTAAGTGGTCAAACCTGCAAAATCAGCAAGGGGTCAAATACTTATTTCCCCCACTGTACAGTATATACATAATTACTCACAGAGTCAGTGTTATTCATCAGAAAGATACATTGAACGCTGTGTTAAACTCAAAATCTCAACATTTTTCCAAATTCTGAATGAACAGGGGAGCCCTTCTCTTACCGAGTCGATCAGAATGAAGGCGGTCAGGTGTCTGTGAGCGACTCCGTGGCGCTGGAACCTGATGGCCACCACGTAACGATTATCGGGCTCAAAACAAAATGGCCTGGACATCTGGATGTATCTGAAAGACCACATTGCATTTACAGTAACAGCAAATCCAAACTACATTTATCAAGTTTTCCTTTTTTGAACACATAAAAAAACAACAAATGATATTTCCCTTCTAAACTACTTTATCATACCCCTTATACTTTTCTAATAATTATTTAAAAGTTGAGGCAGAAATCCCAAAGGATGATAAACATAAACATAAATAAATAAATAAATAAATAAATAAATAAAAAAATAAATAAATAAATAAATAAATAAATAAGCAAATAAATAAATACATAAATAAATAAATAAATAAATAAACCATGCATGTCACTATTAAGAAAAACGTGTCATCACACCTAAGGATTGATCCCATAAAGGCTGCACAGGAAGTGACATATGCAGGACAAGTTCAGCCAAACTGCTCCGAATTGTGTTCCACTTTAAAGGGGGATTTTATATGTTTTGTACTCTGTGTTTTTGATTTGCCAAAAGATTCCTGCAGAGGTTAGAAGCAGGGATAGCAGAACTGTCCAGGAGCGGTGAAAGAAAACAACCAAAACACCAATTTTCCTGAAGGGTCTCCCTCTAAATCGTTTTGGCTTTCATTGTTAAGTCATATTAGTTGTAGGTTACAATGCTTTTCAATGCAAATGACTGAGTAAGGGAGTGCAGAAAAAATCCTTTTTTTTTTCAAATTATATGAAGAAAACATGGCTTGTGCTACAGGATTTCTGATAGAAAATCATAGATATACACAGATTTAATAAAACTGGGGATAAAAACTTTTTGTGGCCTGGACACAACAATGGACCTTTTCCCTTTTGTGTTTTTTCTCAGACAATGCGTCAGTTTCTCACACTTTAAACCTGCGTAAACAAAGCTGCTGCCTTCCTGTACCTGATTCTTACAAAAGCCGCTCTGCTTTGTTTGCCCAACCGACACACAAAGCGCCCACAAGCTGGGGCAGGTTTGAGAGTCAACAACGAAATGACGCCATTTTTCCCTGAGCTGCGAATCCTGCAGCGATATGAGCGGTTACACCGACCCGGGAGAAATGCTTAATCAGTGTCACGGTACCTGTTACGGTGCAGTAAGGTCTGCGTGTAGAGCTGTTCGGTCGGTAGGAGGTTTCCACACCGCAGACTTGAGGGCAGCATGACGGAGGAAATACTAACGACGGCCTCCCAGTCCTCTGTGGACTGCTCCATCACACACACACACACACACACACACACACACACACACACACACACACAGGGTTTGAAATGAGACCAGTGTCCAGTGTTTAGACCAATCGTTCGAAAAATATTTTTTGATAAGGAATTAACCCTGTAAAGCCAAATGTATCATATTTGATACGTACGGTTTCTGAAATGTTTTATGTCTGACACCTTTTGCATGATTTAATAATAAAAACTTTGCTCAAAATCCTGTTGTTCACAATCAGATACACCTGATAACAGGGGGCAGAAGACTTCACAAAAAATAATCTTGACTTATCGCCTAGTAATAAATTATTAATATCAAAAATGTATTTCTGTTTTTTCTTTTTACATATTTTGTTAAAAGGCCAAATAAAGACTTCAAACCAAAAAAAAGTAATTTTCTGTTTTGTTTTATTCTTGGATCAGGCTTTATAGGGTTAATTATCTGCAAATAAAATGCCATTTTTGAGTGTCTGTGTGGTGGCGTAATCATGTAATAATTCCTTATGACTAGATTTTGTATATAATTTTGTATATTGAAGAGGAAATGTTAAGTGCAATTTGAAAAAAGAAATATGAAATATGATAAAAATACATTTTTGTGTTTATATTCATATTCAAGACACTTAAGATAATATAAGAATAAGTTAAGAATAACTATAGTGTTATCATAGAGATTTAATATAGATTTGTTTAACATTTTTGCTTGGTGGTGTGCCTTGGCTCAAAAATGGTAGAAACACACTGAATTAGACTAAACCTCCATACACAGGGTGTAAAGACAGAAAGAAGGAGGACTCTCCCTGTGGGCTTAGGGTAAGCCTCGGTCATGGCCACGCACCTCGGGCTCGTAGCGGATCATGAGGTCATACTCCATGGCGAAGGGGATGTTGTCGATGGTGAACACCAGGCCGGCGCCGTCTTTGACCCGGGCGAATCCGGGTCCGGTCCAGGTCACCATGTGGCTGGGAGAGTGCTCCCTCCGAACGACTGCCACGTCCGGCTGAGACACACAAATCACCAAATCGGTTTCTTCTCATCTTTTAATGATTAATCCGATTCTTTACTCCGACTTCCCCGCCATGTCACGAAGGTGCCCTGGTTGAGGGGTTTTTTGTCTCGTCTTTTTCTAGTCTCGTCATTTCCTGTTTTATTTTTGAAGAATAACCCTCATCTCGTTTCAGGTCACTTGCACTTCCTGTTGTGTCACCAGTCTGAGCGTCTCCCTGATTACCTATTGTCTGCACCTGGGCATCCCCTCCCTCTCGTGGTCAAATAGTCCTCGTCTCCCCTTGTCCCGTGCCAGTGTGTTTCGTTCCCAGCCACAGAGCCTGTCTTGTCCTTAGTCCTCGTCGTAGAAACCGTCACAGTTCCCGTCCCTTGCCTTTTGAGCTCCCTTAGTTTTTGCCTCCGCTACGAGTGCTTTTCTGTTCCTCCTAGACGTCACATTCCTAGTGAGTATTTTGGTTGTTACTTTGTTCCTGTCTTGCCTCCTTGGGAGAGATTTACTTTGTTACTTTGCAGCTTTGTTTTGTAACCTTTTCGCAGCCTCGGTTCGAGAGCCTTTTCTGTTTGTACTTTGTCCTCCGTTTCTGGAGCGCTTTATGTTTGTTTTTGTCCACTCCTTCGAGTGAGCTTTTGTTAATAAATTTTGGAATTTTTGAACAACTCTGCTCCTGAGTCCTCGTGAGTCCACGAACGTGTCACGCCATGCGGCCCTCTTTAGCATTATTGATTCATAGGCTGTTGAACGGAAAGTGGCTTTGATTAAGACTTAAGCTGCATTTACTGTATAGTCTTCTTTCAAAAAGTTCATTCACCAAATTAACTCCTTTCTTTCTTCTGCTTCTGTAGGTTAATAATCACATCATCACCCTGCCTCTCTTTTTTTTTTAAACACCATATCAAGAAAACATTGTAATGACAGCACAGAGCATTTTCAGATGGTTCAAGTGCAAATTACTGTATATTCAATTCACATTTAGTCTCCTTAGACATGGATAACATAGAATAACAAAAATGAAAATTTAAGGGTACAAGAATTCTAAAAAAGAAAGCATTCATTTCATTCAAACTTTGTGAGTTGTCTCTTTTTTCATACATTTGTCTCAGTCTCTGTTTTATCATGTGAAATTGGTCACTGCCTCTCTTTAAAGGCAAACGAAAGGTGGATAATGTCTTTGCCAGTGTTGATGTGGATTCTGAGAACCAGACCCCCCCTTTGATGTTGTATTCTTTTATATAAATTAGCATAGCTGATGTAAATGACACATCTGTCTGTATGTAAAAGATTTAAAGGAAGATTTGAAAAATTGGTGGGTCACAGACCAATAGCAATTTAGTTGCTTAACCACCTGCGATCTTCTTTGACCGACCTCCGCCGATAGTGTGAAGTGTGTGTGTGGATCGTACTGTTTGCTGAAGCTGGCGGATGCGTCTCAGGGCCGCCTGGTGTTGCTGAGAGCTGGATATTCGCCCGTGTCGCCGGTGCCTCCTCGCCTGGTTATTCAGGTGCTGGATACAGTCGTCACTGGCCTGAGGACGAACTTTGCCCTGCGGGAGAAGAGAAGTCCATCACTCTTCATATCAACGTATCTGCTGAAACATTTGGAGACATCTACAGGGATCCACTTTCAAACATGAAAGCTGGGAAAGCTCCTTCCTGGTTCCTCTCTGGTTCCTCATCATGGTTCTGTTTTTCTCAGCCTGGAAAATGAAGGCTTCATCCAATTCTTTGTTCTAATCTAACAATGAGAAGGCTGAACGGAGTGATGAACACAGATAGGCAACAATGAAGAATGAAGTTGTGTTGCCTATCTTCTCTAGCATTCCAGACTCACTGAGGTCCGTTCCCCTCACATTCCTGCGGTAGTGATATTGTACTCGTGGACTGTCGTAACTTGCCTGGAGGACTAAAAGAAGGATACAAATTATCTCTCAAGAGTGAAAAGGGTGGAAGGGTTTAGGAAGAAAAGGAGAAAATGGGGGTAAAGGGAGCATTGTTTATAGAGACGGTGAAGGATGGGGACGCTGGTATGACGAGGAAAAGTTTCTAAAGTTGCATATTTCTTGGCATATCTAAGCATTATGTGCAGTGTGTCCTTCTAAAAAACAGATCCAGAAAAGACTCGACACAGAAGCTGAGAGCTGAATCTGAACATCCAGCTGATCAGCTCCTGGTGGCCTCAGCAGAAATGCTCTCCATGAAGGGGGGCTGTTAAGAAGCCATGAAGGAAGGAAACAGGAAAGAATGACTGAGCTCTGCAAGAGGAACCAGAAGTGGACTCAACACCAGCAGCTCTGATGGAGGGATGGATCCTCATAGCTTTAAGTTTTTTTACCAAAAAGCCAAAAACAACGCTAAAACTGACCAAAAATACAAAAAAATGCAAAAAAATAGAGCTCCAAAGGCCAGAACAAAGCCAAAAAATAACCAAGGATACAGCAAAAAAGCCAAAAAGAAGGCTAAAATGACCATCAACTCTCTCAGAGGAACAAAAAAGTGTACTGAAGACCAGCTCTGATAGAGGGACAGATCCTCATTGCTTTAAGTTTTTTACCAAAAAGGCAAAAACAAAGCTAAAGCTGACCAAAACTACAAAAAAAAAGCAAAAAATAGAGCTCAAATGACCAGAACAAAGCCAAAAAAATAACCAACGATACAGAAAAAAAGGCAAAAACAAGGCTGAAATGACCATGAACTCTGCCAGAGGAACAAGAAGTGGACTGAACCCATGCAGCTGATGGAGGGAAGGATCCTCACTGCTTTAAGTTTTTTAACACACCAAAAAGGCAAAAACAAGGCTTAGGGTGACAAATAAATACACCAAAATATGAAAACCAAGGGTAAAATTAGCAAAAAATACACTAAAAAAGCTAAAACAAGGCTTGAAAAATGCAACATAAAAGCAAAAAAATTTAGCTAAATAGACCAGAACTAAAGCTCAAAGATGCTAAAATGACCAAAATAGAGCCGAAAGTCATGTATTTAACAGCGGCTAAAAGCTCCCAGAGGAGCTGGATGAAGTGGACTGAACCCCAGCAGCTCTGATGGAGGGACGGATCCTCCAGAGCCGGAGCTCCACATTATGAAGCAGTGTGGGATCATCTGACAGAGAACGGAGCCAAAAGCAGCAAAATATCCAGAGAAGAGCTCTGGGACGTCCTACAAGAAGCTGGAGAGCTTTACCTGAAAACTTAGCTGGTTGGAGAAGGTTCGGGCTGTGATGAGCACTAAAGGAGGCATCATCTAATACTGAACCTGGGATAAATACCCTTAAAAAATATGGCATTGTGGTACTTTTCACTCCATTTGAATTCAGAACCTTAACGTTTGACCAGAAGATGCTTTGCCTTTGATGAAGACTTGTTTTTCTAAATTCAGCAGAGTCCTTCTCAAAGGAAGATGCCTCTACGAAGGATGAACCGATGGATGTTTTAACTACTCTGCCTCAAGCACCAAAATAAATGATTTTGTTCAAAGACCTTATAAAATAACGTGAAAACCGCTGGTTCTTCCTGCAGCTTACCGGCAGTGAGGAGCTGCTGGGGGGGTGTCCGGCGGCGTCCTCAGCCTCATATCTGAGGTAATCCAGCGGGGCGCAGAAAAACCCCGGCTGCACGTCCGAACACTGCCGACCAATCAGATTCTTCCTGCAGTCGCACTGGCCGTTTTCCATCGTGCACCTTAACGAAACAGAGAAATAATGTTTAATCGTAGGATAAAATTCTCTTTTTGCCTGTTACATCAGGAGTGATTTCATATCATATACAGAAACCCAGTGATCTGTCCCTTTAACCCTTTAAAGCCTGATCCGAGAATAAAACAAAACAGAAAATTACTTTTTTATTTGGCCTTTTAACAAAATTTGTAAAAAGAAAAAACAGAAATAATTTTTTAATATTAATAATTTATTACTATGCGATAAGTCAAGATTATTTTTTGTGTAGTCTTCTGCCCCCTGTTATCAGGTGTATCTGATTGTGTACAATAGGATTTTGAGCAAAGTTTTTACCATTAAATTATGCAAAAGGTGTAAGAGGCAAAACATTTCAGAAACCTTCTGTATCAAATATGATACATTTGGCATTACAGGGTTAAAGCCAGTCCGTGCTTTTTGTATCTAAATGAGAGACCCAAAAAGGGCTCCGCGTTTTTACTCTGCAATCTTGCGTTTGCGTGTATAAAGCGAGTCCTTACTTGTTGTTGAAGGCTCCACCGAAGTCACAGTCACAGGCTCTGCAGCCAGCCAGATCATTACTGAGGCCCCAGTACTCAGGCTGCCGGGATAAAAAAAAAAACAGCTTAAAAAACCAGAAGGCACAGCGACACGTAGATTTTGTGGTGGGCGGGGATACGTCAGGGCTTGTAAACGTGTAATGTAGCATGTTCCAATAATGTCTGTACAACCGAGAGGCTGTGAAAAAAGAAAGAAGAGACTCTTTGGAGGTTTTACCGACCTCGTAAAAAAACACCTGGGATGAACAACATGATATTAGCCGTGTGACAACAATAAAACTGATGCTAATACTAACACTAGGGTACTTTTCATTCAGTAACACACAATAAAACATGAACCACCGGGACAGCAATGTCAAGAATTTGGTTAATGAGGCTGAGAACTGAAGTCACTGACCTGACACTGGTCGCAGTAGCGGCCCGTGACGTATCTCTTGCAGAAGCAGTCGCCGCTGATCTGGTCGCAGGCCGCTCCCGTCATGATGATTCCACGGGGATCGCAGTTACAAGCTGATGGGGGGAAAACGCACGGGGATGGATTCAGCGTGGACGCCGTTAGGGGCAGCAGCAGAAAAGAAATACAGAGAAAAACACACAAAGAGGAGAGATGTACAACTATTGAAGTACTGTACTTAAGTACCAAAATGCAGTATCTGTTGGATTATACATATTTTTTCCT